CTTACAACGACGGTGGCGCCACTCAAACGCGCACGATCTGATAAGTTGCGCAAAACCACTTTCCAGCCAAGGGCTACAGACCGAGGGTGTTTCTTATTTATTTATTTAAAAGCAAAAGGATTGTAATATACTTATAAACGACATATAGTTTCAGTTATAATATGGATAAATTTGCCCTAAAAATGAATATCGTTCGGTTAAATAGCATTTAGGTATAAATATAATTGCACTTTTGTGATTAGCCCTCGGTCTGTAACATGCAAAATAAATTGTCAAATACGCAACTTTTTCGGGGTGGCAGCACAGGGGGGGTGTCATGGCGCCGTTCAAATTTCGTATCGTTGATGTGTAATTAATTATAACAATTAAAATTAGGTATCTGGTAACAATACGTGTGGGTATAGATGATTTGCTATACAGTAAGTACAGTTGTATGCAAGTAAAATCCTATAGGCTACTGTCCCTTTAAAAATAAGCACATGCGTTATTGATAATATCTTTAATTTTGAATCTCAGACTGCGGACTCCCTTGTTCAAAGTTAATTTCTACCCCTGTATAATATATATATATATATATTCAGTATTATAGTTCCAGGGTAGAAATTAACTTTGAACACGGGAGTCCGCAGTCTGAGATTCAAATATAAAGATATTAACAATAACGCATATATGTGCTATTTTTAAGATTCATGCAGTTGCACGTCTGCCAAATTTGCTTTGGACATTAGCTGAAAAAATACAGTAATTCCGTGAGGCCGTGCTCCAGAACGAACTAGTTAGTATGGCAGAATTTTCAGGGAGTCACACGGACTCCTGCTATGTCAAATCAGGGAGTCCGGCCAGTAAATCAGGAGTATTTGACTCCGGACTCCGTTAATTTCGCACCCTGCAGTTCAATAGAGCGTGGACAACATGGACCCTCTGTGAAGTCAATAGAATGTGGCGATCCTAATGTTAAGATTCATCAAGCTTTGCTAATGAAGCGCCGCGTGTATGATCGACTCAGCTCATAGCTACGTGGCACGAGTATATATATGTTTTGATGTGCAGACTACGGTGGCAGGTGCCGCTTCTACGCGCAGTTGCATTACGACAATCCGATCAGTGCAACTTGAATTACATATCCTTGAATTGCAAATAGTGTTTTCAGATCCTGTCAACACGTCGAGATTAAGAAGGTATCACATAAAAAACAGACCATGCAAGTTACTTTGAAAGTTCCTACAGACATTACTACTATGGGCACGTTATCTGCAATGACCGACAGACTCACGACTGGCCTTATATTGTAATCTAGCTCAGAGCCAGAGCCACATATATGAAGAAGTCTCCGCGAACTCTGAATTAATATAGATATAAAATCTCGTATTTCCACAATGACTCACATTGCACATGTCACAGCAAAATATACACAGTATCGCTTTGACAAGTTTACAGTGTCTGCTACAATATAGAGGTATATTGTTGAACTGCTTGTAGATTGATGTAGTATGTGCATATATATATAATATAATATATAATTATATATATATATATATATATATATATACATATATATGTCACGTGATCTGATGCTCAATAACTTGTTTAGGATAAACACTAAACAGTATTTAGAACTCAAAAGAGTAACTAGACCCTCTAGTGCTAGAATGAGGCTCACTCTTGCTTGCAAACAGCTGAGAAAACTATTATAAAAATACTAATACTACTTATACTAATATATAAAAACTCTATTAATGCCCTGATAATCACAAATGTCCTATTGTGGAAAACAGAGTGCACCCCCCCCCACTCCCAAATTAACTGATGACTCTGGTTTCACCAATGTGCACACATCATTAAAATTTTGACATTTGATAATTTCAGCAACAACTGGTGGAGCCAGTCAAATATTCGTTATCGATTTATATTTCTTTGGTGATGCACCTAGTTTTTTTTCCAGTGGAAGGTGCATGAAGCTGTATTGTACAACTTAGACTTGCTATACATGTATAACTATAAAGGTGTATTGTATACCATTGAACCACTATAGTGGTAAAGTACTATGGTACTAGTACTATACGGCAAAGTACTAAAGAACGCCATGGGGAATCTTTGCAGCACAGCAACAAGCATTGCATTTTCAGCCCAACTAGTTTAGCACCACGGATTAGTTTAGCATAATTTATGGAACTATATATCCAGGGGTCACAAACTAGGGCTCATAGGGTCTATGTCCCCCAGGGTACTGCCGGAACGTACCCTGGGTACGGTCCGGTATACCGAAACGTACCCTGGTCACTATTTGATATGGTTAGGGTTAGGATTAGGGTTAGGGTTAGGTTTGGGTTCGGGTTTAGGGAGTAGGCGTAGGCAACTCCCTACACTCGTTAGTGGAGTAGACGAGGTACGGTTCGGCATATTAGATAGTACCAGGGTACGTTCCGGCAGTACCCCGGGGGACATAGACCCTCTCAGCCAAACTAGGATTGAGCAGCATTTTCCTATAAGCTCCTTTATACTTAGTCCGAGTTTCCTCTGACCAATGCCCACACCGACGATTTTGGTGGATTTGGTGTGGGTTAGTCAAGTGAGCTAACCCACACCAAATCCACCAAAATCGTCGGTGTGGGCATTGGTCCGAGGAAACTCAGACTACTTTATACTGTGCAGTACAGCCCTTTAATAGAGCTCTTATATCCTTGGCTGAACTATGCTTGGTTGATCAGTCGCATAGCCACGTTGAGCGTACTCTAGCTTCCAAGTTCCATACATCTACACCGACTAGTTTATAGTACTAGCACTAGCAGTAATATACATTCCTTGGGAAACCGGCAACACCCACCAGCACTGCACAGTGCACTGCAACAGTACTGGAGTCTGGAGCAGTGTAGACGATAGGCGTTGCCGGTATTATATAGGCATATAATAGCCCATGTCTTAGATTCAAGATTCAAGATGCATAAGACATATTTACATTCAGTATACGACGATACATATTAGATGAAAGGTCCAATATGTAATGTGATAGATATAGCACTGGGGTGGCGAAAGACCCTCAGGTCATCAAAGTCTGCCACCCCTAAAAACAAAAAATATAGTACATAAACGGGCAGCTGAATCATATGACTATGATCGAGTTAAATAAAGCTAGTAATTACGATAAAGATCTATCTAGGCAGTGCACCAGCTAAGCTTGCGTATTTGCGTAAATACGCATGAATTTCATACAAATACGCATGTAATTTTCAAAGGTATGCGTATAGATACGCTTGTGTTTTAATAAATACGTACATGAGAAAACAAACAGATCGTATCAGTACGCTAACCTTCCATCTACTCCCGTATCGGCTCGGCTCTAAATCACATTGATTTAGAATATAAGAAATTGCACTTAATCTGCGTAACCTGACATGGAGTTTGGACACCTCCCAAAGAAGGCAGGGTCTTTGGGTGGTGTACAATCACTATGTCAATTTTTTTGTGTGAGTACCTCTTAACTAATGAGGTTGTAAAGGCAACATATGTTAATATTCTGGTCGATACTCATACGAAGAAAATATGATGAGTACTGCCAACAAGGAGTACTCATAGGGATCTTGCCGATACTCATACATAAAAAAATGGTGAGTAAATACTCATCAACGCCAAAAATTATCTGGAGCACTGCTACAGCCTAAAAAAATACTTTTTTTATTACGAGAGCTCTTTTTTTGATTTTGTATGAAAAAAAGAGCTCTCGTAATTTTGTTTACGGGAGCTATTTTGAGCTTGGCCAGAGCTACTTTTTCATAGCATGATTTTGTTAAATTTTCATAATTTTGATGCACTGACTCTAATAATGTCTCAGAAAGCCAGAAATTGTGTCTAATTATCGTAAAGGTGTTTCCCAAACAAAAGTCAAGATTATGCTTTGGCGAAATCGACGAGGTCACAAATTATTCCTATGCTGACAAAATACCGGAGGCCGGGTTTACATGTTGCTGTATGCATGTTGTGTACAAAGTATGACTGCATGCACTGATTGTCTCATTCGCATTGGTTTTTTATTCAAATTTCGTTATGTCTAGCCATTCAATAAAAAAAACTTGCTTGCCCGAACAGGGAAGTGCAATTTTCAAGCTACCTGCCCCGTGGAGAATTTTGGTTGCCCGGGCCATCGGGGCCATCGGGCAAAGCGGTTTTGTCTGAGCCCGGCACCGCCAGAGTTCGAATTTAAGCTGAAAATCTAGTGGACAGGCAGGACACCAACTTCAGAAAGTTGGTGCCTCGCACAAAACATTTGGTGGTCAGCTTATTACTAGCAGTGAGTAACAAAATATTATAAAAAGATAACCATTGGACATTAAAACAGCATACGCATAAAAATTTGACAAATTAAACAACATTGACAAATAGTGTCTTCATTAACTCTTTGATGTAACTTAATTAGAGTTGGTCAAAATAATGTTTCAATCTCTAGGAATGTCGGGGGAGTTCTGGGTAAGGTTTTACTTTCGTTTTTCTCTTCCCCAGTCCACGTTACCCCCATGCAATAGATCTATCAATGCTGCCGCAACATCCAAAGTTACAAGTGCCTAGAATCTTTAAGTATTATTACAGTTTACATTCTTCTAACTAACTACCTGAATAAAAACAGTCCACTTTTTACGTCGACGAATTCAAGAAACAGCTTTGATTACGTGCGTGTCAGGTGTCACTGGTCGTGCCCTAACTTCCCACAATAACCCTGCGCGATATATAAACTTATTGTTACGCGGTTATAAAAACACATTGACTTCTTAGACTGTCGCGAGTTTTTGTTCGTGTGGCGAATCATGCGTTGAGGGAGTTCATGGCAGCTCTAGATGTTGGATACCCTAGCGTCTACGTTGAGAACGCGTCGTAACCTGCCGGGCGGCACGGGAGCGATTTTTCTCGTAGCTTCCAAATTTTCGGCTCTCGTAATTGTTTTGTTACCAGAGCGCTTTAAAGCTGACGGGAGCGAAATCGCTCGCCGCTCCGTGTTTTTTTTCGCTGACTGCTAGTATACAAGAATGCGACAAATATAACACCTCGTGTGGTGTACGTAGGATGCAAGCGTTCAAGTTGATTTATGATTGAGCATTAAATGTTATTATTAATACAGTCGTGAATAAATGAGAAAAAAAATATAACTAAAATAGTACCCACAGTACGGTAACTCATTATTATCATATTATGTATAACTATAAGAGTATACTTAATAGTATAGGCTTATAATAGCTAGAAGCTTATGGAATCACTCACTGCTTACTAATAGTCCTATAACTATAGTATCTGTAGAAATCATGCTACTCGCCCTATCTCAGTTCTAACTACGCGTTGACACCCAAACTGTGGCCTGCGGCTGCGGATGCATACGAAACGCTAACCTAACCGAGTCTGTCGTCAACAACGTTCGAAGTGGCGGCTGCGAGAGTGGGCCCTGCCGACTGGGAGTAGAGCCTGAGAAAAGTAATAATTTTCAACTATGGCTATGGGCCTGTAAATATATCCGTTTTTTTCAGTTTTTATTATCAGTTTTTTTATTCCAATTCTATATTGGAATTCTATGCCTTCTTCTTTGGTTAATTTTAAAGTTGAAGCTTTTTTCTACTGCAATCCGCATTGTTCAACTTTGTCTCTCCCAATCCCTGATATTGTTCCTTGGACTTAGAATTAGACTAATCATTATGAGGTTACACTTGTAACTTGAGTTACAATTTGCTATCGTTTCAGTTTTCAGTGATGTCACTGAATCAAGCTGCTAATAGCACTGGCCCTAATTTCGATTTCGACTTTGATGACTTCTTTCATAATGACAAATCAGGACCAGCGGAACCATGGTAAATACAGTTTGGGACATTTTTGTTATTGCATGTTTGACACTAACAGGTACTATTAAATGTCATGAGTAGGGGATTCATTGTGTATGGGCTGATTAGTTGATTAAAAATAGGAATGTAGGCCTAACATGGAATTGTCTATGGCAGAATTGTGACGTGAACTATTCCACTACTTTTATCTTTTTTGACAGTGGTCCAAAGCACGGCACTGTTGCACCAGTCATACCTGCCGCGCCATCTTTAGACGATTTACATAACCTATCCCAGATGGTGAAGGCAGGCACCGACATACGGCTATCTCAGTTAACAGACAAATCATCATCACTGCCATCTAAAGACAGACATTTTAAAACGCCTTGGTATCCATTATTATGTTTTCTTATATTTGTAATAAGTAAGCAAAAGAAAAACATCGATCTTGACATTGTACATGCTGCTAAGACAACGTACGTCTTTGGTAGCTGGACAAATGAGCTATAAGTATATATGATTTTAAATTCTGTTTCTGAAAATGCTATTTGGTACATATTTGAATGTGATAATTGCTAGACTAATTAAAGAGAATCAATAACCACAATTTTGCTTTTTAATCCTCTTTACAGGGCGAAAAATAAGGACCCAATCTCTGATTATGATTTCGGCCTGTCCTCACAAAACTTTCAAGAAAAATCTTCCAGGTATGACCTACATTAAGATGAAGACCTTGCATGTAAGGTAGCCGTTGCATATACCAGTCAGTACACAATCTGGCTACGTTAGTGTGTTCGGGCATGCGTATTTTCGTAACAGAGGAGTCATATTTTGGGATGAATATGCATTTATTATGGTCAGGAGGTATCTCAGCATAGGTTTCTGTAATAAGTTCTTATCAGTAGAGCTGTGTTTATAATTAGGAAAGCGCCCTAGCCTGTAGGGTGCAAAACTCCTGTTTCATCCACTCCCCTCCTTTGCCTGCTTCTTCTGTGGCTCGCTCAGCCTCTTTCTTTTTCTACCACCCCTAAGATATCTTTCCTGCCGCCTTTCCTCAATCTCCCACTCCTCTCTCTTAGCAAGATATATATTATGCACTTGTCATTAGTCCGTACTAACCTCCTGAAACGGTGCTCGCGCATGCGCAATATCTTCTGTGAAGAATTATATTTTGCGAAAATTCTGCATTTAAAGTGGAGAGGAGGTATTCTAACATAGATTTATATGATAAAATTTTATCTGTAGACCGGTCTTAAGAAATAGGAATGGAGTTTGGACACCTCCCAAAGAACGGCAGGGTCTTTGGGTGGTGTACAATCACTATGTCAAGTTTTGTGTGAGTACCTCTTAAACTAATGAGGTTGTAAAGGCAAAATATGTTAATATTCTGGTCGATACTCATACGAAGAAAATATGATGAGTACTGCCAACAAGGAGTACTCATAGGGATCTTGCCGATACTCATACATACAAAAAATGGTGAGTAAATACTCATCAACGCCAAAAATTATCTGGAGCACTGCTAGGTATACAAGAATCGACAAATATAACACCTCGTTGGTGTACGTAGGATGCAAGGTTCAAGTTGATTTTGATTTGAGCATTAAATGTATTTATAATACAGTGTGAATAAAATGAGAAAAAAAAATTATACTAAATAGTACCCACATACGGTACTCATTATATCATATATGTATAGACTATAGAGTATAGTAATAGTATAGGTTATAATACTAGAACTTATGGGAATCACTCACTCTTACTAATAGTCTATAACTATATGTATCTGTATGAAATCATGCTACTCCGCATTCTCATTCTACTACGCGTTGCCACCCAACTGTGCCTGCGGCTGCGGATCATACTCTACGCTACCCTAACCGAGTCTGTGCGTCAACAACGTTCGAAGAGGGGCTGGAGAGTGGGACTGCCGACTGGGAGTAGAGCTTGAGAAAAGTAGAATTTCAACTATATACCACAAAGCTATTCTAATTCCATCGAGTATTTCTCAACACACGTACCAATACAAGAAAAATTCTTACCTCTGTAGCATAGATTCAGTTATATTTTAACATTAAGGAGCGTCATCAGGAAACAACTGCTGTAACACAAACACTATCCATGCTGAGACAAGTGTGCACCTCGTAGTGAGTACGCCGCACGATGGCGCCATTATCGATTGTTTACGCGGAGCAGAAGATTTGCGGAGTTCACAGCTGAGAACGAGTGAGGTTCTTGTCGTCAGTGTATTACTGTGTAAATCGGCAAGTAGGTTGATATTATCATTGATAACATATTATATAATGTCAGTTTACTGATTTGTATTTTGGCTATAAACATAATTTGCTATAGGCTAGCATAGCCGTACCGTAGGGGGATAGCCAACTACTCCGTTCTTCAATTTCAAACGCTTGCAGTTTTAGCACTGTGTCACACTCACAGTCACAGGCACACACAACCACTGGCACTTTTTCACTATAACTGGCACCAGTGCCAGTGCCAGTGCCAGTGGCAGTCGCAACGCGGGTGAAAGATATTTTACATGACACATATGCCATCTTTCTTATCACACCTGCCAATTTTACTAGCATTTGGAACTTCAGTTTTCAACGAAATTTAGATTAATATACCTAGGCCATGAGAATGAAAAATCCGGTTTACCGTCCAAGGAATTTTATAAAAAGTGATGAGGCTTTGTTTCATTATTCATTATTCATTATTTAATTTTCAGGCTGAAATACAGTGAAATACCAGTACAGACAATAAACAATCGTTTTTTTTTTTGGAATTTCGGAATTTTCAATCGGGAATTTTCGGTTTGAAGTCGTCATCTTCGGTTACATCTTCGATATATGTCTAAGCGGTTAGAAAAGTGGCAATGTACAATCCGGACTCGCCCCAAAGCTTGTCAAAATCCATCAGAATTGCTGTTTAGGCTAAGTACACCTTGTGATTAGTCTATTATGTTTCATTGAGGGAATTTTTTCCAAATAATGAAATTTTTTGTAAATAATGACTTTTTTGGGCGGACTAAAGCGGCATGCGGGCGTGGAGGGTAAACCGGATTTTTCATTCTCATGGCCTTAGCTAAACACTTAATAAAATACAGGCCCGTAGCCAGCTTTCTATTCGGGGGGGGGTTCGTTTTTTAATGTTGGCAATTTGCCGCAGGGGCGTGTACAGGATTTGTAACCAGGGGGGTCTAACCGTAACCCATAGTTGCGAGCACGCGAAGGGGTCTGGGTAATTTTTAAAAATTAACACCCCTCAGATGCGTTTTCTTGCGCGAGCAAGGGGGGTCCGGACTCCCTGGACCCCCCTGTACACGCCCCTGCTCGGGCGCGTAAGCGACCAGGTGAGGGAGCCAAGCGACCGAGCGGGGGGAGGTGTGGGAGGGGGGTGTTCACTGTTACCCTCCCGCACGATGGAGATTTTGCAATTATTACACTAAAATGGAGCGACCTGAGGTAAAATTCTTGCAAATTTTCAAAAAAAAAAATTTTTGCTTGGGGAGGGCTTCGGGGGGGCGTTCGTTCGAACCCCCCGACCCCCCCTGGCTATGGTCTGTAAATATATCCGTTTTTTCAGTTTTTATTATCAGTTTTTTAATTCCAATTCTATATTTGAATTCTATGCTTCTTCTTTGGTTAATTTTAAAGTTGAAGCTTTTTTCTACTGCAATCCGCATTGTTCAACTTTGTCTCCCCAATCCCGCGATATTGTTCCTTGGACTTAGAGAATTAGACTAAGTCATTATGAGGTTACACTTGTAACTTGAGTTACAATTTGCTATCGTTCAGTTTTCAGTGATGTCACTGAACAAGCTGCTATAGCACTGGCCCTAATTTCGATTTCGACTTTGATGACTTCTTTCATAATGACAAATCAGGACCAGCGGAACCATGGTAAATACAGTTTGGGACATTTTTGTTATGCATGTTTGACACTAACAGGTACTATTAAATGTCATGAGTAGGGATTCATGTGTATGGGCTGATTAGTTGATTAAAAATAGGAATGTAGGCCTAACATGGAAATTGTCTATGCGAGAATTGTGACGTGAACTATTCCACTACTTTTATCTTTTGACAGTGGTCCAAAGCACGGCACTGTTGCAGCGCAGTATACCTGCCGCGCCATCTTTAGACGATTTACATAAACCTATCCCAGATGGTGAAGGCAAGCACCGACATACGGCTATCTCAGTTAACAGACAAATCATCATCACTGCCATCTAAAAGACAGACATTTTAAAACGCCTTGGTACCATTATTATGTTTTCTTATATTGTTTAATAAGTAAGCAAAAGAAAAAAACATCGATCTTGACATTGCACATTCGCTGCTAAGACAACGTACGTCTTTGGTAGCTGGACAATGAGCTATAAGTATATATATGATTTTAAATTCTGTTTCTGAAAAATGCTATTTGGTACATATTTGAATGTGATAATTGCTAGACTAATTAAAGAGAATCAATACCACAATTTTGCTTTTTAATCGCTGTTTACAGGCGAAAATAAGACCCAATCTCTGATTATGATTTCGGCGTGCCTCACAAAACTTCAAGAAAAACTTCCAGGTAATGACCTACATTAAGATGAAAACCTGCAATGTAAGGTACCCGTGTCATATACCAAGTCAGTACACAATCTGTCTACGTTAGTGTGTTCGCGCATGCGTATTTTCGCACCAGAGGAGTCATATTTTGAGATGAATATGCATTGATTACGGTCAGGGGGTATCTCAGCATAGATTTCTGTAATAAATTCTTATCAGTAGACCTGTGTTTATAATTAGGAAAGCGCCCTAGCCTGTAGGGTGCAAAACTCCTGTTTCATCCACTCCCCTCCTTTGCCTGCCTCTTTTGTGGCTCGCTCAGCCTCCTTCTCTTTCTACCACCCTAAGATATCTTCCCTGCCGCCTTTCCTCAGTCTTCCACTCCTCTCTCTCTTAGCAAGCTATATATTATGCACTTGACTTTAGTCCGTACTGCCTTCCAGAAACGGTTCTCGTGCATGCGCAATATCTTCCCTGAAGAATTCTGTTTTGCGAAAATTCTGCATTTAAAGTGGAGAGGAGGTATTCTAACATAGATTTATATGATAAAATTTTATCCGTAGACCGGTCTTAAGAAATAGGAAGCGGACCTTGCATATAATGTACCCGCTGCTTATACCAGTCAGTACACAATCTGGCTATGTTAATGTGTTCGCGCATGCGTATTTTCGCACCATAGGAGTCATATTTTGTGATAAATATGCATTTATTATGGTCAGGAGGTATCTCAGCATAGATTTCTGTAATAAATTCTAATCAGTAGACCTGTGATTATAATTAGGAAAGCGCCCTAGCATGTAGGGTGCAAAACTCCTATTTCATCCACTCCCGTCCTTTGCCAGCCTCTTCTGTGGCTTGCTCAACCGCCTTCTTTTTCTACCACTCCTAAGATATCTTCCCTGTCGCCTTTCCTCAGTCTCCCACTCCTCTCTCTCTTTCAGCAAGCTATATATTATGCACTTATCTTTAGTCCGTACTGCCCTCCTGAAACGGTGCTCGCGCATGCGCAATATCTTCTGTGAAGAATTCTGTTTTGTGAAAATTATGCATTTAACGTGGAGATGAGGTATTCTAGCATAGATTTATATGATAAAACTATATCTGTAGACCTGTCTTAAGAAATAGGAAGAGGACCTTGCATATAATGTACCCGCTGCATATGATATACCATTCAATACACAATCTGGCTACGTTAGTGTGTTCGCGCATGCGTATTTTCGCACCAGAGGAGTCATATTTTGGTATGAATATGCATTTATTATGGTCAGGAGGTATCTCAGCATAGATTTCTGTAATAAGTTCTTATCAGTAGACCTGTGTTTATAATTAGGAAAGCGTCCTAGCCTGTAGGGTGCAAAACTCCTGTTTCATGCACTCCCGTCGTTGGCCTGCCTCTTCTGTGGCTCGCTCAGCCCCCTTCTTTTTCTACCACTCCTAAGATATCTTCCCTGCCGCCTTTCCTCAGTCTTCCACTCCTCTCTCTCTCTCTCTCAGCATTACTTGATTTAGATATTTATTATAGAAATCTATGCTGAGATACTCCTATCACTTTATACATAATTTTTGGAAAACATATTCTTCACGGAAGATATTGGCGCTAATGGCGCAAAGCACGTTTTGGAGGGTAGTACGGACTAAGTCATATGCTAATATATAACTTTGTGAGATGAGGAGAGGAGCGGAAGACTGAGGAAAGGCGGAGGGAAGATCTTTAGGGGTGATAGAAATGAGAGGAGGCTTTTGAGCGAGCTCGAAGAGGCAGGCAAAGGACGGGAGTGAGTTATGAATAGGAGTGTTG